TACTAACTCCAGTTAAGACTCTGGCAGTAACATTTTGGATCAACTGAAGACTTTTTAAAGAAGTATTTGGACATCCAGATAATAAACCATTGCAATAGTCCAGTCTAGATGTGACAAATGCATGGTCCAGTTTTTCTGCATCATTTTTAGACAAGATGTTTCTAATTTTAGCAATCTTACGCAGATGGAAAAAAGCAGTTCTAGTAACATTTTTTAATGTGGGTGATAAAAGACATGTCCTGATCAAAAATAACACCTAGGTTTTTAACATTAGAGCTGGAGGACAGATTAATGCCATCTAGGGAGGGCGAAAGAATGAAAAATTAATTTCTAAGGTGCTCGGGTCCAAAAACCAAAACCTCAGTCTTGTCTGTGTTCAACAGGAGAAAATTAAGGGTCATCCAGTTTTTTACGTCTTTAAGACATGCTTGTAGTCTAAGTAGCTGATTGGATTCATTGGGTTTAATGGACAAATATAACTGTATCATCAGCATAACAATGAAAATTTATCCCATGCTATTTAATAACTTTACCGAATGGAAGCTTATATAAAGTAAAGAGTATTGTCCCAAGCACTGAGCCCTGAGGAACTCCATGACTAACTTTGGTGTATAAAGATATATTATTTACATTTACAAACTGGAATCTATCAGATAGATATGATTTAAACCATTTTAGAGCTGTTTCTGTAATCCCAATATCATAGTAAAGCCTCTGTAGTATAAACTGGATTCCAAAAAGGTTGGGACACTAAACAAATTGTGAATAAAAACTGAATGCAATGATGTGGAGATGACAAATGTCAATATTTTATTCGTAATATAACATAGATGGCAGATCAAAAGTTTAATCTGAGTAAATGTAACATTTAAAAGGAGAAATATGTTGATTCAAAATTTCAGAGTGTCAACAAATCCCAAAAAAGTTAGGACAAGTAGCAATAAGTGGCTGGAAAAAGGAAATTGAGCATATAATGAACAGCCGGAAGACCAATTAACACTAATTAGGTCAATTGACAACAGGATTGAGTACAAAAAGAGCTTCTCAGAGTGTCAGTGTCTCTCAGAAGCCAAGATGGTAAGAGGATCACCAATTCCACCATTGTTGCGCAGAAAGATAGTGCAGCAATACCAGAATGGAGTTACCCAGCGTAAAATAGCAAAGACTTTTAAGTTATCATCATCAACCGTGCATAACATCATCAAAAGATTCAGAGAATCTGGAACAATCGCTGTGCGTAAGGGTCAAGGCCGTAAAACTCTACTGGATGCTCGTGATCTCTGGGCCCTTAAACGTCACTGCACCTCAAACAGGAATGCCACTGTCAAGGAAATAACAGAATGGGCTCAGGAATACTTCCAGAAAGCATCGTCAGTGAACACAATCCACCGTGCCATCCGCCGTTGCCAGCTGAAACTCTACAGTGCAAAGAGGAAGCCATTTCTAAGCAAGCTCAGACGTTTGCACTGGGCCAGGGGTCATTTAAAATGGAGTGTGGCAAAATGGAAGACTGTTCTGTGGTCAGATGAGTCACGATTTGAAGTTCTTTATGGAACACTGGGATGCCATGTCATCCGGACCAGAGAGGACAAGGATAGCCCAAGTTGTTATCAACGCTCCGTTCAGAAGCCTGCATCACTGATGGTATGGGGTTGCATGAGCGCTTGTGGCATGGGCAGCTTGCATGTCTGGAAAGGCACCATTAATGCAGAGAACTATGTTCAGGTTCTAGAACAACATATGCTCCCATCTAGACGTCATCTCTTTCAGGGAAGACCCTGCATTTTTCAACACGATAATGCCAGACCACATTCTGCAGCAATCACAACATCATGGCTACGTAGGAGAAGGATCCGGGTACTGAAATGGCCAGCCTGCAGTCCAGATCTTTCACCTATAGAGAACATTTGGCGCATCATAAAGAAGAAGGTGCGACAAAGAAGGCCCAAGATGATTGAACATTTAGAGGCCTGTATTAGACATGAATGGGAGAGTATTCCTTTTCTAAACTTGAGAAACTGGTCTCCTCTGTCCCCAGACGTCTGTTGAGTGTTGTAAGAAGAAGGGGGGATGCCACACAGTGGTAAAAATGGACTTGTCCCAACTTTTTTGGGATTTGTTGACGCCATGAAATTTGGAAACAGATGTTTCCCTTAAAAATGATACATTCTCTCAGTTTAAACTTTTGATCTGTGATTTGTGTTCTATTCTGAATAAAATATTAGATGTTGGCACCTCCACATCATTGCATTCAGTTTTTATTCACAATTTGTTTAGTGTCCCAACTGTTTTAGAATCCAGTTTGTAAAATATTGTGATCAACTGTATCAAATGCAGCACTGAGGTCTAACAGGACCAGTATAGACACAAGTCCATTGTCTGAGGCCATGAGAATATCATTAGTGACTTTTACTAGTGGTTTCTGTGCTATGATGAGCTCTAAACCCTGACTGAAACTCTTCAAACAGATTATTTCTTTGTAGATGTTCACGCAACTGACCTGCAACTATTTTCTCTAGAATTTTTGAGATGAAAGTTAGATTAGATATAGGTCTATAGTTGGCCAGAATTTCTGAAACAAGGTCAAACTTCTTAAGTAAAGGTTTAATTACAGCAACCTTAAAGCCCTGTGGTACATAACCATCCGTTAAAGACAAATTAAGTAGATCCAAAATGTGGACATTAATTAGGGGAAATACCTCTTTAAACAGTCTGGTTGGGATGGGATCTAGCAGACATGTGGATGGTTTGGATGAGGTTATTATTTTTGACAATACAGAGAGCTCAACAGGACAAAAACTGTCCAAACATAAATCAGGCTCTAGTGAAATTTTTAAAGTTGTCTCATTTGACAGGGGACTAGAGATACTAGAATAAAATATGGTTTGAATTTTCTCTCTAATTGAAATATGTTTATTTATAAAGAATCTCATGAAGTCATCACTACTTATAGTTCTAGGGATACATGTTTCAACATAAATGGGACTTAATTAGTCTAGCAATAGTACTAAACAGAAACCTAGGGTTATTTTTATTCTCCTCTATTAAAGATGAGTAATATAAAGTTCTAGCTTTACGGAGAGCTTTTTTATGTTAGCAGACTATCTTTCCAAGTTAAATAAAATTCTTCAACATTAGTAGAGCGCCATTTTCTCCTAGATTCCTGCTTTAAAGTATGTAACTCAGAATTGAACCAAGGAGCCAGTTTCCTCTGATTGATTACTTTCTTTTTCAGTGGAGCAATGTTATTAAGTGAAGTTTGCATTGAAGATGTAAAATTATCAACTAGATGATCTAAGTCACTGTTCTCTGATGCATTACTCTGCAAGACAGAGGAAAACATTGATGGAAGAGATCGTTTAAATTTGGTTACAGCATTTTCTGATAAGCACCTGCTGAGATGAAATTTACTCTCAGTGACTGTGTAGTCATTTAATGTAAACTCAAAGATTATTAAAAAATGGTCGGACAGAATAGGATTTTGAGGAACTATTACCAAGTCCTTAAGCTCTATACTATAGGTCAGAACTAAATCAAGGGTGTGATGATAAGAATGAGTAGATGTGCGGACGTTCTGGGTAAAACCAAATGAGTCCATTAAATTATTAAAGGCTATGCTTAAGCTATCACTCTCAGCATCTACATGAACATTGAAATCACCCATTATGATGATTTTCTCAGTATTTAATAATAAATCAGTTAAGAATTCTGAGAATTCAGACAAAAACTGAGAGTAAGCGCCTGGTGGACGATATATAACAATTAGTAAAAGTGGCTTTTCTGATTTCCATTTTGGATGAGAAAGACTGAGGGACAACGATTCAAAAGAATCATAACTAATAACTGGTTTGGCATTAATCAATAATCCTGACTGTCAGGTGTTTACAAAGGTTGAAGCTTGACAAATGCTACGAACACTTGGCATTTGTCTTGTTTCTTTTTTCCTCAAATCATTTTGTAGAGCTGACCTTGTATGTACTTGTGCGTTTGCTTCTAATTTGAAAAACATTTAAATAAGTACTGTTGCCAGATGCCAGAAGAGGGAGTGGAAGCAGTCGAATGATACATCTGTCCTTTTTAAGGATTCAAGGTTCTTTATTTGTCATTCACACCACATGTGGTAAATGTGGTGGAACGAAATTGTGTACACAGGGTCCCAGTTACATTCAACAAAAGTATAAAACGTAAAAGAAAAACAGTAATAAGATACAAGATATGGACTAAGAAAAACGTTAACTAAAAACACACTAAGCACTAGTAGTATAGAAACAATATGCCGAACAGCAGCACGAACTGAGTCTGTGTGAGCAGATGAGCACGAATGAACACAGCAACATGAAACAGATCAGCAGCAACATGAAACAGATCAGCAG